GCCCTTTAATGCACAATATGCAAGTATCTTCTATCATTCTGAAGGTTGTCTGTTTGCTTTGTTGATTGTGTTCTTAGCTGTACAGAAGCTTTTTAACTCAATCAGGTCCTATTTATTTTTTGTTTATTTTGGTTGTTGCAATTGCCAATGGGGTCTTCTTTATGAATTCTTGCCTGAGGCCAATACCCTTAAGACTTTTTCCCACACTTTCCTCTAAGTTTTTATAGTTTCATGTCTTAGATTTAAATCTTTTACCCAGTGTGTATTAGTTTTTATAAGTGGTGAGGGGTATGGGTTTAGTTTCAGTTTTTTACATATGACTATCCATTTCTCCACTTGTTAAATGGAGATTTATTAAATAGGGATTCTTTCCCTACTATTATGCCCTTCTTGAAGCACCTTTTCCCTTGACTTCTATAACTTTCTATTAAATTTCCATGCACGTTTTGGTGGACTGATTCTTGGTGCCCTCTGTTGTTTCATTCTCCTCAACCTGCCTTTCAAATTCCAGATTCCTCAGACCTCAATCATAGGCCCTCTTTCACTCCATGTTCTCTCTGGAATTTTATTCATATCCAAGGTTGCAATAACACACATACACTGCACAGTGTCTGCTCTCAAATCTGTATCCTAAGTAAACCCTTTATTGAGATCTAAATCTTTATATCCAATGGTCCATCTCATTAGCTCCGTACTTAATCTCAACATTTCTAAAATTGGATTTGTGATGGCTCCTATAAAATAAAATCCCCCTTCAATGATCCCCAGTTGGTAAAATGTGCATGTATGGGTCCTATACTTGTTTTCATAGCTCCTAACCACAGTATGAATAAAATAATGAATTATAAATGACCTATTAACTGACTTCTCCAATAGAATATAGAACAGAATATTGGAGAAGATATAAGCTCTTTGAGAGTAGGAATTAAGTCTATTTGTAATTATTTGTGGGATGAATGGGTCAATGTGAAAATTAATAAGTTCAAGAGTGAAAGAATGAATGATTTGGCTAAAAGAACTTCCCAGTTCCATCTGGCCCAGAACTAAGAATTTTTGTGTTATCCAGTGGATTATTGCTCTTGAGTGCACACTCCAGAAAATTCATAAAATAAGAATAAATAAATAGGGGAAGATACATATCCAGAGGAAAACATTAATGCATAAATTCATAAATGTAAATGTGGATCATAAGTTTTTGTAGGTCCTGAGTTTTCCTACCACAGAGGAAGCTCTATGCAGTGGCCTGTTTCACATACATTCACAGGCAGGGATGTCTCTCTCTGTCAGCTTTGTCTCCAAAGGGACAACAACTTGTTTTTCCTATTTCTAACAATTCAAAAACTTCCTTTTCCAGAAATCTGGTTGTAAATTTTTAAAGGCTATTTTTATAACAGAAAAGGAGGGGTGAAGAGGAAGAAGGGGGAGAAAGGATTATCTTCTTTAAATACTAAGATTAAAATGACATAGTTCAGGTCAGGCGCAGTGGCTCATACCTGTAATCCTAGCACTCTGGGAGGCCTAGGTGGGTGGATCATGTAAGCTCAGTAGTTTGAGACCAGCCTGCATAAGAGTGAGACCCTGTCTTTACTAAAAATGAAGAACTGAGGCAACAGGATTACTCGAGTCCAAGAGTTTGAGGTTGCTGTGAGCTACGACAACATGGCATCCTACTGAGGGTGAAAAAGTGAGACTCTGTCTCAAAAATAGATAAATAAATAAATAAAATAAAATAAAATAAAATTACATACTTCAAAATTATCTAAAGAATGGAAATGTCTTGAACTTTTTGTTTTGAAACACTTTAATAGTGTGAAGCTTTAATACTATAAAACAAGCTCATAAGATTTTAAACAGTATGTATAACATAAACACTCAATAAATGGCCATTGAGCATTTCCCCAAATTTCCTCTTGCCCAACGCCTTCTATTCTAGTGGGTCATATCACTATCATCCTAGGAGACTCTACCCTTTGATGGCAGGTCATGAATATCTAGCTTTGTATTCTTCATAGCACTGACTCTATTTTTCAAAAAATAGCACTAATTGGTTATTTGTTGAAATCAATGTTATTAATTTTGCTTTTTATGAGGCAGTTTCAGTTTCTATTAACCCCTAAAACCCAAAATGTCATGAACTTCAGATGGACCCCTGGAAGACATCTCCCTCAGGTTTGCCATTTTAGGGTTACTGCATACACTTGCTTGGCCAGATTCCCTCTCCCTATCAAACTGTATCTATCATATATACTGAGCTATCGGAAATGCCTTCATGAAGTGCAGATAGAAAGAATATACCAGTCTATGCAAATATGGTGGCTGCTAACTGGTAGCTTCATTTTTTAGCCTCTCCTCTCAGCTAATGTATTTACAACTAACTGGTTTTTGTTAATAACAATATAGTAACAATGACAATACCTACCATTTATAAGAATGTCTGGCACATAGTAGATGCACAGTAATTACTGGCTTATAATTAGCAGTAATAATTACCAATTGTCATTGGTAATAACAATTGTTATATTGGTAATAACACAGTGACCATAATGAGCTTGCACCAGACTGGGCTTTTTATTTTAATTTTTCTATTTTTCTATGTTCTCAAGGAAGTGACTAGAATTGTAGTTAATTTAGGTCTAGAAGTTGATTTGGAATAATGAGTCATTTACTTTGCTTTTCTTTCTTTTTTTTTTTTTTAATGAAAACTGTAAGAGTGTTTGTGTATTTTTGTGCACCCACACATATGGGTATTTCTCCTGATTTCAAAAGAAATTCAAAGAATCATAGAGTTGGTGGTTAAGTGTGTAGGCTTCAGTGTCCCAGTGTCTGGATTCAAATCCGGGTCTGTGATCTTAGAAAAGTTGTTTAATCATTCTGGGTCCTAATTTTCTCCTTTGTAAAGGGATAATTACAGTACACAAATCATAGGATTATAATTAAATGAAACAATAATTGTTTATTGTGTCCATATTAGCACTCTCTAATATATGTTGTTTTTATTGTAGTTGCTATTTTAAAATAACTGGAAAATGCAGAAAAGCAAAAAAGCCACATAATCCTGTGTTATGACCACTATGAACAGGAACATGGGACTATATGCTTCTAGAATATATATATATATTCACTCTTTACAAAATTAGAAATTGTCATTATTTTAATAATTTGTTCTTCTGCCCCAGTGTAATTTATTCTGTGCATCACTTTATAATTAGTTTTGTCAAATTTTCTTCTTTGTGTTCCTATATGTAGTTTTAATGGTTGCATTTCAGTCCATAATATGTATGTCCTATTACTTACTCCCTGGACGTGTACTTTGCCTTGAATTTTTCACTATTACGAAAGTGATTTGAAGTAACCTAAATACACATATTTTGGTACATATGTGATTAATTTCTTGCTATACACTTATAAGAAACCACTTAATAAGCTGTAAGGATATTTTCAAATTAATATTTTTGAAATAAACTGCCATTGGCTTCCAAAAGGACTTTAATTTTATTTCCAGTCATACATGGGGCTTCCAGTTTCCATGTAACCCTGCCACGTCTTAGTGGTATATATATATACAATATATTTTTATAATATCCAATTTCATAGCTTCCACACAATGCAGAGCAAGTCATTTCAATTGTGAGACTCAGAATCTATAAAGTTAACTAATGGCTTAACCTCAGAATTCAGAAATATCATCAAGATCATAAAAGTTGTATTGATTCCAGAGCGCACTGATGTTTGATATTGGAAGTGTGGTTCACATGAGAAAGGACCACGTTGAATTTGAGCCAATACCAGAAAGGGCTAAAGGGTCAAACATCAAGGAGCATTGCTCTGGCAATGCCATGACTGTCCAGAATGCCCCAGTATTGGGGTGGTGCCTGTGGCTCAAAAGGGTAGGGTGCCGGCCCCATATGCCGGAGGTGGTGGGTTCAAACCCAGCCCCAGCCAAAAAAAAAACTAGAATGCCCAAGTATTAATCAGTCTTGCCTATTTTAATTCAGGAAGCAATATGGATAACAGACACAATTTATAATTCTGATTATTTTTTATTGTAATACATCCCACTGAACTACGTGATCCATGAGGGCAGATCTCTTTGTTCACTGATGTATCTTAAGCCCTTAGCACAAAGCATGATACATAGTTGGGGTTCCATGATAAGTATCTGTTGAATGAATATATAGGCTGAATGATGCTGCCTGAGTGACTGCATGCCTGGTAACGGGCAGTCTGCCTCCCCTGGACGAGTGTGAAGGAGTGGTCACGAATGTGGCTCTTGCACCTGTCTCTTCCCGGCTCCCATTCTGTGTCCACTGTCACGGTCTTCAGTGAAAGATCCAAACAGGAACTTTACCTAACAAATGCAATCAGCACAACCTAATTCTTTATACCCTCAAAGAATCCCAAATAATAAAAAAAAAAAAATCAAAACAGAACCATTTCTGTATTCCTTGCTGACAGTGAGTCGAAGTTCTATACAACCTAACAGTGATTCCCTGCCTAGTGAGGAAGTGTCCTGACATGGGGAGTAGCACAGATTCATGTGTTGTAAATAACAAGAGTACCTCGCGAGTGGCCAATTTCCTCCTCATCACAGTGACCGACTTAAAATTTGGACTCTTTTCAGACACCCCAGCAGACATAACAAGGAAAAGCAATCCATTTACAGATGTCACCACAGCCACTGTATTTGGGGTCATGATTTGTTGTGCCATGTTTGACAGATTATTTTTTCTATCCTTGAGATTTATCTTGTTTTCATTGAGATATACTACAAGTGTTCTGTTACCCTTTGCCAGGTGAATGAATTGTGATATTTGGTCAAAGTTTCTTTCACGGGCAAAAGATTACAGTGTCCAGAGGGCTGGCATGGCCTTGAGTTGGCAGGATGGTGGTAATTTTTGCATGATGCTTAGCCACAAACATGTTAGAATGTTAGTTTCACAGCATGGGTTTACAGGGAGTTTAATTTGATGTTTCAAAAATCTTCTTTTTCTCTTCAACAGGTTAATTATGTATGGCTTTGTGAAGGCCATGATGTATGCTGGCCAGCTGAAAAATGGGGACTTTCATTTCACAGACTGTTTATTTTTTGGTTCACTGATGTCCGCTACAGATCCAGGTAATTGTTCAAATAATATGTTTCCTTCTTTTAAAGACTCAGACATTTAAATTGAGTGTCTTTCTTAAAACCATCACCTAAGTCTATGTAATAATACTTCCTTATTCCTCTTGGCTTGCAGTTGACACATCTAGTAGTAATTACAAAAAAGAAAGAAAGGCACAGGTGGATATTCTGTTAATAATAGCTCTGAAGAAACGGGTCACAAAGCAATCTCAGTAGTGATGGAGGCTCTTTCAAGTCATTTTAGTTTATTTCTCTAGAACATGTAGCCATTTTGAGCTACACAGGGTATCCCAAAAGTTGCTCCTAAAGTCACCATACAAAAGGAAAATGGGAGATTGTAGCTAAATATACCTTTATTTACAGAATATTCATTACAAAATTTGGCCAAATAGTTACAAAATGTTCTCTGTATGCTGGCCCCCTCTTTGTGACATATACTATTTGGACATATTCTACCTTCTGAAAATGATCTAATGAATTAAATGGCCGAAAATATTTTCTAAAGTTGTTCATTATGGCACTGTTCAACCCTATCGAAAGCCAGAAGAATAGCCAAAAGGATTTCCATATGTCCCTCAGCAGTTAGCAAACATGGCGAATCTTTTTCTCTACTATCTGCTCCGCACACACGCTTCCTCTCGTCATGACCGGATTATGGTAAAGCAACCCCCAGACATCATCTCATTTGATTCGTAAATATTCAGAGAAATGACCATTGCCATTATAAACATAAAAATATTAACAATCCTTCTTTAATAATATGAAAGATTTATTCACTGTTTAAATATTCCCAATCGTCTTATTGTAATTATTGTTGTCATTATTAGTTGGTAGTACCCACAAATCAGGATCCAAACAAGGGCCGCACATTACAATGGATATGACTGCTGAGTCCTGTTTAATCTCTAAGTTCTTCCTCTATTTAAAATTTTTCTTATTACTTATTTGTTAGAAGAAAGTAATTTGTCTTGTGATTAAATTGAACGCGGTTCCTTAAAATGTTCCTGGATGCTCCTCCAGTGGTTAGAGAGAGAGGCTTACTCAGAATGAGGTTCAGCTTTTTCGGCCTGATTACTTTAAAGGTGGCACTACGGGCCTGGCATTCATTAGGAGGCAAACTGATTGTTGACCCAGCTGTCAGCCCGATCCACCCTTTTATACTAAATTGCTACTTCAGCAAAGACCACCTGGACACACCTGTAGCTAAACAAGATGATTTTATTATACATCACAGTGAGTGAGACGACTCGCCCTAGAGAACCGTGAGACATCTCAGTGGGTGTTAGCAGGGACTTATCAGAGGAGTTTGGTTCACGTCTGGTGATTTTAGGGAGGTTTTAAGGAATTGTGGCTTTGCTCTGGATTAGACACCATCAGGTAGTGGGAATAATTTCAAAACTGGGCATCTTAGTTAAGTCTTATTTAGAAGGAAAAAGGATTCGGTTGAGCCTAAAGCTATGCTTGATAAAGTACAGGGTATTTTATACTTGATAAAATCAGGGTACAGGGATGTTTGGTCAATTTTGCGATTTGCACAATGTTCATTCTTTGTGTTTTTGTCTTGACCCATCCTCGTGGTCACAGAATAAACTGGTCATTCTGTGACATTGTTTATGTTTGACAGGACTAGGGCCCAGCTGACAGTATCAGTCCAGCTCTTCAGTGTCAGGGGCCACTTTCCTCTTCCTCAGCACAGCCCTCAGACCAGCAGCACTGGTATGTGCTGACTTTATAGATGCTCAACCCCGGACCAAGTGAATCGGGGACTAGAATTTAAGTGATTTATATGCACGTTAACGTCTGAGACACTTTACATTTTAAGAGGTTCTTATTTTATGGCTTTGGTACCTGTTGATAGTTACTGCTTAATCCCGTATTTATTGGGGCTTCCGAACTGGTGGCGTGATAACTCACCCTTAGCTTTTCCATTTATTACCTTCTACTCCCCTCAAAGAAATAGGTCTTGTGTTCAATTATTGTAACACCTGATGGTTTAATTTCAACGCGCATAAAAAGCAGGGGAAATGATCTATTCTTTCTCTGTATTTGCTGATTTTCAAACTAATGTGTAACATTCTCCACGTTACCAATGAGATGGGCTTTTTAAAAAGTATGGTTATGAATACGATGGATTTTTACATAGTTGGTATAACTCAGTCTACTGCTGTCATGATTTTGGATGATCCAAATACTCTACTTGTGGCAAGTGGAAGCCTCTTCAGGTTTCTCCCGTGTACTTCTGATATGATGCCAATGGTTTTTGATAGTTTTCTTGCTTTGGGGTAGGACTGGATGTTCCAACTTTATATTATTGAATTCCCGCATCCTGACTTGGAATCAGCCACTTCTTCAAAAAGCCTTTGTTCTAAGAGTGAAATTCATTTAGGCAACAAAACGTGGGCACTGAGCGTTTATACTGCTGGGTTAGTCATTGTTCCTAAACCTTATTTTTTTAAGGACACATATTTTCATAGTCATAATCTTCCATTAAAATATTGTGTGGTAGCAATTGTACTTAACAGCTTGGAATGTTTATTTGCATTTTTATTTTTCTCCCGCCCACTTTTCTTCTTCCGACACATCAATATCATTTCTTACTTGCTTAAAATACACATATTTTCAAAATTATAATGTACCTATTATTACTAAATATATGATAACAAAACTGTTTAGGATTCCATAGTGGTCATTGTTAAACTCTGGATATCTCCTACTAGTGATATACCATTAAAAATTACTGTTTTAAAACCATTTGAAATGATTCCTGTGCGGGGTGACCGCAAGTCAATATACAACAATATTCATTTCTTTTATTTTGCTTTTCATTTTTGTTTTAAAATTAGATTAAACATCTATAGGAGTCCAGAATCAAAACCATGAAATGAAATCAGGGAAACGTAGCTTCCATTTCTGTCCTCCACACCCTAACTTCCCAATCATTTTAGTCATGTCTTAGCTTACCTAAAATTTTTTAATTTAAGCAATAATATAAAACACGCACATACTCTCCTGTACACTGCTATACATGTGGCTTTTTACCTTATGTTCATTTGATCTACCATATTTGGGGAATTACTACGTAGCAGCAGATAAAGACCTTTCTTCTTCTTTATCAGCTGCAGAATACTTCACGGTTTATTCATCCTTTCCTCTATGGATGGCTATTTGGTTTCAATCTTCTCTTTTGCAATTATGAATGGCACTGCAATTAACAACTTTTTTACATTTTGCCAGTGTTTCTTTGGGAAAGATTTCCAGAGACTGATAAAGGTGCATGCATTTGTAATATTCTTAGATGCCAAACTCCTCTCCCTAAAGTTTATGCCATTTTGCGTTCATACCAGCAGTGGATGGCAGCCCTTGTGAAGACTTTTTCTTCATAGTCTTACCAATGCCGTAGGCTATCGAAATTTAGAGGTATTACCCTTATGGTAGGGGAGAATTTATATGTCCCCGTGGTTTGACTTGGTACTTCTCTTGTTATAAATAAGGTTGAACGTTTGTTTGTATCTTTTTGAAAACCAACTGCTTATTAGGTGCCTTTTCCAGTAGAATTGTTGGTCTTTTACATTTCAAATTTTAGAAGCCCTTAATATACATCTTAGAGATAATTCTTCGTGGTATAAGTCCAAATATTTTCCTTCATCTGCCATCTTTTATTTTGCTTATGGTTGTGGGGAGGGAGGATTAGTATATAATGGAAGGGGATGAAATGAAAGTGGGTCTCAGATGTAGAACTCAGGGCATAGACGAGAGGATCAGAGTACCAAGAACCTGCTCCATCCCCAGGGTCGGGGATAACCTGGTTACTATGTCATTGCTAAAAGATTTTACCTGAGGTTCACACAGCCCTAGGGAAAGGCAGAAATCTCTTGGCAGCCTCTAGAAGCACGGACTCCAGATGAAGGATTTTTATCCCATCGGTGGTTTCTAGCTGGTTAAGTTTGCTCTCCTCCGCCATCCTTGGGCATTCCACCTGTCAGGGTCAAGCCTCATTTCAGGTCACCTCTGCACAACTCCGCAAATCGAAAAGCACAGCATCCATTATTTCCTTGTCCCAGTGTTGAAGGCTGAGTTTGTTGTATTCTATTGAGTGACTCAGCTGGCTCTAAACGCAATTGAGTTGTGTTCCAGCTTTGTTCCTTCTGCGGCTGGTGATATCCCTGAGGTTATGTTTACACTGCACAGGAAAACTGATTGAAACAGGAACAAATCCAACTCTGTAAGGTGGTTATTTATCTGCATTGTGTCAAACAACGGACCTGATTTGATTTATTAAAATATAAAAGTGGCTCACAACCATAAAGAGAATACCGGGACCCAAGTCCACTCTTCAAGTCCGGGGCAGGCCAGCTGTGCCACTTTGGGCAACCACTTAGCCGCTCCAGATTTTGTCGATTCTTGGAATCTATCATCTCTTTCATTGCTTTCAACTCCTTTATTTTTTCCAGATGAAGAAACTGACTCTTCATCTGTAGGATGAAAAGTTTCAGAGGGCTAATATCCTTCCAGCTTTAACATTCAACGATTCTCATGTCTGTGAGATTGGTTTTTATTTTAAAGGAAACTTTTGTCTTAAAAAAAGTAAATGTCAACCCAAAGCCTGCCCCCCAGCTTGTCTGGGATTCTAACTCCAACTCAGCAAGTGCTGGAGAAGATCCATCCCTACAGCAGAAGCCGGCACACGAACAGAAGCACTTACATCCCCTCCTTTTCCTGGGAGCTAACTGGCATATTAAAACACGCTGAACCCACTCTCTGCTAAATTGCTGCAATTTAAGATCTTCAATAACCTTAAAACACCTAGTCAGTCTTACCCCACAATTATTCACTTATTGCCTAAACTATTGTGACTCACTAATTTGTGAGAGAGAACTGCTCTCCAGGTTTGATATTTCTTGGCCTTTTAAAAATTAATTCTTTCCCATTTAGCCTTAGCCACATTTTAGCTAGGTGTTAGTATCTATTCATATTTATCTTTTATAAAGACACAG